GTGAAGGGTAAACAAAGGAGGAGGCTGCAATGCTTGGTAAGAAATGTACGCATTATCCTGCCCATGTAATTGTAACTCCTCTGTACAGCATGTTCACAAATAAAATAAAATTTAAAAAAAATCTATAAGGGTCTGTAGAAGTAAGAATATTTAACTCCATATTCAGTGATGTCTATGCTCAATGTAACCATTTAATAGGTTAATAACAATATGATTTATAACATACTAGATTGATAACATAACAGTAGGTTAATAATATAATTAATATAATAGATTTATAATATAAAAGCTTCTAAGAGTTAGAAAATGGACCATAAATGGCCTACTCATGCAGGGTACCAGTGGCTCACACCTGTAATTCTAGCAACTCAGGAGGCCAAGATCTAAAGATTGCAGTTCCAAACTAGCCCAGGCAGTTCCTGAGACTCTTACTTCCAGGTGGCCAAGCAAAAACCCAGAAGTGGAACTGTGGCTCAAGTGGTATAGTGCTAGCTTTGAGCACCAATGCTCAGGGATCGCACGCAGGCCCTGAGTTCAGGCTCCAGGACCAGCACACACACACACACACACACACACACACATGCACACACACATACGCACACATGCACGTGTGCAAATGGTTTACTAGTCTTACAGCCAGTTGGAAGTTAGTACTTCCTATTCTAGAATGTTTCAGTAGTTTTTTTCCATCTGTATCCATTTCTTCTCTTTTGTTTGCTGTTATTAATGGTTTCTCTTCAGATTGCCTCATAGTCAAGTAACAAAAACAGTGATGACCTACATAGCCCTACCAGTGACTGGAGTTTCTAATAGCAGGTCCTTTTCGTTGTCTTGCTCTCTTTCTTCTCGTCCCAGGTGCTTACCACTGACATGATTGCCTGACTTCCGGCCTTATTCCGGTGTTTGGGCTACTGGCCTTCACAGGCTTGAGGCTCACCTTGGGTTTTGACCTTCCTTAGTTTAACCTACCCTGTTGCCAAGTCTCCAACATTCCATATAGTTAATGATATTCAAGCATCCTGCTTGAAAGCTGAGGTATGGGAAAAGCCCATGGGCTGGAATTTTGTGTTCTCTAGGGTCTTTTTGTTCTCTAAAGCAAACAAAAAGCAGAAAAATTAATTATGAAAACAGACTATATGAAAGAAGAATTTCCTGATAATACTTGAGTTTCCTTCTAATGGATGGACTTTGAAGGTCAAGGCTACCTGGCTTTAAGCATTTTTTATAACTTAAAAGGTTTACAAGTTTCTTAATAAACCAATCACTAAATGGACAAGGGAGCTAAGGAGAGACGATAAACTAACTTGAATAGCAACTGATTATGGTAATGATAGAGTTCAAGTTCAAGGCCCAGTGTCAAGATGCTCCTAGAATTAGGTGTTTAATATCTTGTTCTGAGGATACTACATCACTTACAGCGCAGACTGGGCAGGAATCCACCACACTGCCATCTCAACTTCACTCAGGCTTGCAGCCCAAGGACTCACTGCTGGGAAAGTTTTACCACTCAGCAACTTCATCAAGCACTTCCTATAAGTTAGATAATGTGCTGTGTAACGTGGATACAACATCAGCTCAGATTCACCCTGGCTGTTAATAGTTTGTAGAATTATACAGGGATTGGCATACCAGAGC